AAGACCACATCTATTCACAGCTTTGAACAAGGACAGTCATCCCAGTCAGTGCAAAAAATTGACAAGAGAAGGAGATATGACCAGACTGCAGATACTGACCTTGCCAAAGTAACTCATCAATCTCATTATTCAAGGTTCAAGAATAAGCTCGTCAAAGTTAGACATTACACTCCCATTTGTCACTACTGTCAAACCAAAGGTCATACTCAGCCTGAATGCTATTTTTTCTACAAAGATCAAAGGAATGAGAAATATCAGAACAAGACTATTACACCGTTTACTAGACAGGTTTGGGTCAGAAAGTCAGAAGTTATTTGCTACCCCACTATAGTTCTGACTGCGTCTACAACTGAAGCTAGATGGTATTTCGACAGTGGCTGTTCCAGACATATGACTGGAAATGTACAGTGTCTCATGGCTGTTCAACCAAGCAGTGGAGCTGTAACATATGGAGATGGACAAAAAGGGAAAATTGTTGGGAAAGGTATCCTGAATGTACCAGGTTTGCCTCAATTAGAAGAAGTTCTGTTAGTCAGTGGGTTGAAAGCTAATCTGATTAGCATCAGTCAGTTGTGTGATCAAAATTGGAATGTGTGCTTCAATCGTAACTGTTGCAGAGTTACTGACAAAGCAAATCAAATTGTCATGGAAGGAACCCGGTCCTCAGATAATTGTTATGTTTTGGCAAATGAAACTGCATATCACCTATCCAAATCTGATGAAGCAAAACTCTGGCATAGACGACTGGGTCACGTAAACTTCAGAGATATGGATAAACTGATAAAACTAGAAGCTGTGTAAGGTGTACCTAAGATCAGAATAGATCTGGAAAAAGTTTGTGGTGCATGTGCCATTGGGAAACAAATCAGAACTCCACACAAAGCAGTAAGAGGTATCACCACTGAGAAGTGTCTAGATCTTGTTCACATAGACCTCATGGGGCCAACACAGACTGAAAGCATTGGGGGAAAGAAATACATATTTGTGTGCGTAGATGATTTCTTTCGATACAGCTGGGTATACTTTCTATGAGAAAAATCAGAAGCATTCAAGGTTTTTAAAACTTTGTGCATAAGGATTCAAAAGGAAAAGAATGAGTCTATAATAAAAGTTCAGAGACTTAGAAGTGATCATGGAAAAGAATTTGAGAATTCACTATACTCAGATTTCTGCTCCGAGCATGGTATATCACATGAGTTCTCAGCTCCTAGAACTGCTCAACAGAATGGTGTAGTGGAAAGAAAGAATCGAGCTTTACAAGAAATGGCTAGAGTTATGCTACATGCCTCTCATCTGCCACATCGTTTCTGGGCTGAAGCAGTTCACACAGCCTGTCATATTGTAAATAGGGTCTATCTTAGACCAGGAATGACCAAAACACCATATGAGATCTGGAAGGGAAAGAAGCCAAACCTGAAGTACTTTCATGTGTTCGGGACAAAGTGTTATGTGCTGGCTGATAGAGAACAAAGAGGGAAGTTTGAACCTAAGAGTGATGAGAGCATCTTCCTTGGATACTCTCCAAACAGTTGTGCTTACAGAGTCTACAACAAGAGAACTCAATCTGTGATGGAATCAGTAAATGTGGTCATAGATGATAATCCAGAAGAATCAGTAGACACAGCAGTGACAGATTCAGTGACAAAGCTTCCTCTCAGTGAATCAAATGCCACTGATAGCAATAGTCAGCCCAAATCACAAGAATCCTCAGATGAAGATCAAGAAAGTTCGGAACAGGAGACAAATCTCATAAATGATACAGGTAAAGACAAACCCACCAGAACTCAGAAAAATCATCCGCCAGACAACATCATTGGAGATCCAACAGATGGGATGAAGACCAGGAGCAGAATAAGAAATAATCTGACAGAAATATCTGGCTCTGCTTGCTATACCTCAAAGATAGAACCAAGGAATGTTAAATAAGCTTTACCAGATGATCTGTGGATCAAGGCAATGCAGGAGGAACTACATCAGTTTGAGCGAAATCATGTCTGGGATTTAGTTTCAAGACCTGATGGTGTTAATATAATTGGAACAAAATGGATCTTTAAAAATAAAACTGATGAAGCTGGAAATATAGCAAGGAACAAAGCTCGGTTAGTGGCCCAAGGGTACACTCAGATTGAAGGGATTGACTATGATGAGACATTTTCCCCTATAGCTAGACTCGAGTCAATCAGGATTTTGTTGGCTGTCGCAGGTATTTTGGGATTCACACTGTTTCAGATGGACGTTAAGACAGCATTCCCGAATGGCTATCTGCACGAAGATATCTATGTGGCTCAACCTAAAGGTTTCGAAGATCCAGATCATCCATCATATGTTTACAAGCTTCGAAAAGCTCTCTATGGTCTCAAACAAGCCCCCCGGGCATGGTATGAGCGAGTAACACAATATCTGCTTCAGCATGGGTATAAACGGGGAAGTGTCGACAAAACCTTGTTTGTAAAGACTACTAGAAGTCATGTAACCATTGCCCAAATCTATGTTGACGACATTGTTTTTGGATCAACCCTACAGAAATACACTGACGAGTTAGTAAAAGTCATGAAGGAAGAAATTGAAATGTCTATGGTTCGTCAACTGACATACTTTCTAGGACTACAGGTCAAGCAAAGCTCTGAAGGATACTTTATCTCACAAGAAAAGTATGCCAAGAATCTAGTCAAGAAGTTTGATCTGGAATCATGTAAACCATCCAGGACACCAATATCTACCTCCACAAAAGTATCAAAAGATGAAACCGTGGATAACACAGTCTATCTAAGCCTGATAGGCAGTCTGTTGTATCTAACCGCCAGTCGACCAGACATAATGTTCAGTGTTGGAGTCTGTGCAAGGTATCAATCGGATCCAAAGGAATCACACTTGATAGCTGCAAAATGCATTCTGAAATATGTAAAGGGAACGATGCAGTATGGACTCTTGTACTCCAAGGACAGTGAACTGAGTCTTGTCGCGTACTGTGATGCTGATTGGGCAGGAAACATTGATGATCGAAAAAGTACATCTGGAGGATGCTTCTTTATTGGTAAGAACTTGGTTTCGTGGTTAAGTAAGAAACAGAACTCAATTTCATTAAGCACGGTAGAGGCAGAATACATAGCTGCTGGTGGATGTTGTACTCAGTTGGTATGGATGAAACAGATGTTGCTGGATTATGGTCTTACTCAAGGGATTATGACACTCTATTGTGACAATGTCAGTGCTATTAATATTTCAAAGAATCCAGTTCAACATTCCAGAACGAAGCATATTGATATCAGGCATCATTACATTAGAGACCTGGTTGAATCCAAGGAGATTGAAGTGGAATATATTCAAACTAACAAACAACTGGCGGATATTCTGACTAAACCTCTAGATGCAAATCGTTTTGAAATTCTCAGGTCTGCTCTGGGAATTCGCAGAATTGACTAATACAGCAGTTGGTCAGTCAGAGAGGAGTAGAGGTTTCCGTATGCGGGTCAGAATTATGATTTGTCTTCCTTTTTAAGACTCCTCTCTATTATGTTAAGTGGTTTCTATAACCTAATATATCTTAAAGATTCTAATCTTTTTTTGAAATTCAAATTTCCTTGGGTTTCGTTTCCTTCCTAAAAAGAAGCTGTACCGTTGGGTCAAATCAATCGCGTCTGCATTCTATTTGACTAGCCACATTAATTAGGGTTCATCACACTTAAGTCTATTTGTATCGGGCCAAGAAGAAAACTATCTACGAGTACCTCAGCACTCAGTCTTCCTCTCTCTCTCTACATCCTTGCCTACCTTGATTTGTTCTTCTCCTCTCACAAAAATCTCCAATGGCAGATCCAGTAAGAAATATCATCATCAAACTCGGGAGCGAGACACATTCTCCAGAAGTGGCCTTTAAGCATATCCAGACGCTATTACAGTTTTCCATGAAGAAGAAACTCAAGCTTGATCCTCTGCTTCGTGATGAGATTTTGGTGACTGTTATGACAAACTACCCAGAGTTTTATGTTGATTGGTCTGAAGAAGATGCAACTGAACTGCTGATGATGGTGTCTGAAGCCAGTGATGAGGTTTCTCCAGTATCTATTCCAGAACCCTCGGATGGAAATCGGGCCGGGGCATTCCTTCGATACTTTGCGCAACGAGCCCTAGAATATGTTGAGGTCTCTCGACGGCGAGCGGAGTCACAGCTGTTGTATCTTGAAGCTGCTCAGAAAGAAGCAAAACACAGACAGGAGATCCTCCGAAACAGGTCAAACAATTCTGGAACTCCTATTGAAATTTCTCTAGATAAACCTGATGATTCTGCTACCCCATCTTGTGTGCCTATTAATTCTGAAAATTTAAATGCTTTGAGCTCTGAAAACCCCCCTGTGAATGTTGATCCTTTATCTCTGCCGTTAAGTGAGTTTGATTGTGTGAAAAATGATGTCTTGCATGTGTCTGATGAACAAGAAAAATCTTCTGATGAGCCCAATAATCTGAGTTTAATTGTATTCCTTTATGATAATGTTGTTCTGCCATCTGCTGAGTTTGCTGTTGAACCCAAAGAAATTTGCCCTGCTGATGATCCTTCTGATTTACCTGCTAATGTTGAGTCTATTGACCTCTCAAGCCCCCATAAGTCTGAGAAAACAGGTGGAATCCCAGTCTACACTGCCACATCGTTAGGTGAAAGTCTTGAGCATGTGCAACATTTTGCTGGACTACCGTCTGCTTCGATTCCTCAACCGTATCGAGTGATTCACTCATCTGATTCCTCCAGCGAAGATGATAAGATTCTGGCTGAAGTTTATGGGTCTCAATCACCTCCATCTGACATTCCAACCATTGAGGCCACTGCTCATCCTGACTCCTCAAAATTTAAAATACGAGAGGTTACTAATCTGCTTGATGGCTCTTCTGCTCAAGTATCTGACTCCAGTCATTCTGTGACTCCTGTTCAATCCCCAACCAAAGAAACAAGAAGGTCTAAGAGGAAGAATGTTCCTGTAAAAGTTATTGCTGAGATAGGTGATGACAATGCTGACACAGATCAGCCTGAGAAGAAAAGGAAGTCTAGTGAGACGGTTAAATCTGAATCTAATCCACCTATCCAACAAGTTTTCAAGACTCTACGCTCTTCTGTTAAGCAAAAGGGTTCTGTTGCTGCTCAACCACCTGTTGTCCCCGCATCTTCCACCAGAAAAGTGAAACCTGCTACTCGTGCCAGAGGTCGGAGCATTACACCTGAGGTTCAAGCTGCTGAAAGCTCTGACACATCCATTTACAGACCTCAATTTGTTTCTCCTTCCACTCAAGCCAAGTGGTCTACAATGATCCGAAGAGAACTGATTGTTCAAAGATCGGTTGATGAAAACCAGATGAATTCCGTCTGTGATGTTCTGCCCTTGCTAAAAGAAGTGGGTCTTCTGAAGACTGTCATTGCCATCTGTCCTTATTCCAAGCTGCTTACATACGAATTTTTCTATAATCTCAATGAGGAGATGGACAATTTGTCTGGAGAGCATCCTCTGCAGATTTTCATTCGAGGGAAATGGTATGTGTTTGGCCTGACATGATTAACGAATACTATGGCCTACAAGGAGTCCAAGAGGAGGCTATCATTGACTGGGATGCAGTGGCCAAAACAGTAACAGGTGGACAAGCTGACAGATGGCCTACTGGTGATAAGGATACTCTACCTAGCTCTCAGCTCACCTCAAAATATGTGATTCTGCATCGTCTTGCTCTGCATAACTGGCTACCTTCGGCACATTTCCACACTGTCGGCAAGTCTCTTATTCAGAATTGGAACCAAGATGCCCGTTGACATTGGGTCATGGATCTATTCTCATATTCTCACTCTGATTCACCCGAGAGAACAAAAGGTACGACTGCCCTTTCCTAATTTGATCTTTGGAATTCTTACAACACAGGGCCTTGAGCCTATGACGAGTGAGGTGATCAGTCCGACCCTTCTCTACACGATGGACCGGCGTTTGTTGATTGGAGAACATATCTGTGATGTTACGCCGGTGACTGCACCCTCCAATCCTTCGACTGATATAGTGGGAGATGACTCGCCGCATGCACGAGATCTTCAACTCTCTATCCAATTGAATGCAAGAGTCTCTGAGCTCGAGACCGTTCATGGCATAATCGCTAAACAGCTGACAGGGGCTTGTACAAAATTAGCCACTGTTCTTCTTCGTTTAAGCCTGACTGAGGGCTCGGATGCTGATCCTGTGAAGTCTGACAGTGAGACTCCCTCCAACGCTTGACGTGGCTTTGGCTCTCTTTTGGCAAAAAGGGGGAGTATGAAATCAGGGGGAGTTGCTTGTGTTGTGTTTTTTGTGTATCTTCTGGCCCTGGCTGGGTGATTGTGATTGTTTTGTGATGTTTGTGATTGTTTTGTGATGTTTGTGATTGCTTTGTGATGGCATCTCTGGCACCTCCTTTTGAAGAATGTTTTTTTTCTTGACTTTGTTTTGATCCAGCATGACATGTATGCTGTGTTTTTATTTCTGCAATGTAATCAAATGTTGGTTGGCTTTATGATAGCCTATCTTAGTTATCTCAGTTCTCTTGTCTCTCTATGTAGTCGAGTTGTTTTGCCAAATAATAGCCAAAGGGGGAGTTTGTTAGTGTTTTAATTGTTCAAAAAACCCAACTTATAATTGGCAATATTATTATGGCTTACTAAGATAGGTTTAGGGTTTGTCCGTCCAGCTCTACAGATGACTGATCAATCAGAAGCAACAATAGAAGGACTGACACTGAAGATCTGTTTTAGGAAGCTGACTTCTAAAAGACTGTACGCGGCATTACAGAAGTCAGATTTGGAATGAAGATCAGCGTATCTGCTTTGGAAAGGTATGGATTGACCAAATCCTTAAGATTACATTCTTCAAATATCGTCCTACCATCTACAATCAAAGATATCTATGGAAGGAGTGTTCTTTTGATGGAACTATAAGTATCCTCATTCGAAGAGAATTAGGGTTACGCTTTTGAGACAGAAGAAAACACTCTACATCAGTTTGATGAGATCAGATCTTTGATTATCATGCCTCTTCTCAATACAACATGTTCATGGTGATTAAGATGACGAACTTGAGAAGAATCACTGCTGCTTAAACGAAAGGACACTGTGATCACACTGTTGTGGGAACAACTGTAAAGAGCGTCATTGAAGTGGACTGCATCAGATTGGGCTCTCCAAGTGAAGGGATTTCATTGGACTTCTTATGCACAGCTCTCCATCTTCATCAATCCACTAAACCTGTGTAGACTGGGTATGTACCTTGTGTGGGACACTTGGGTAAGATTATTGTATATCTACCTTTGTACATCGGATTATGATTTAGTGGATTGGACGCCTATGTGATCGTCTCCCAGACGTAGATACACACTGTATCGAACTGGGTAAACATTCTGTGTCGTTGGCTCTGTGGTGTTATCTTTTCTTTAATCTTCACTGTGATTAGTTTTTACTTATTGAATTCATCGCTGAATCAGTCAGTCCACTTAGTCAATTGATTAATCCAGTTAATTTGTTTAAAAAGAGAAAATGCAAAATTACACATTTTTTTCAATCCTCCGGGCTCTGCCAAGTAGACTATCTTGGCAATTGAAATTCTTTTTGAATTCCAAATCCTCATATCATGTTCGTACCCATTTTTGCCACGTATGGAATTTGGGATGATAACTTTGTAAATAGAAAAAATTACATCTTCACTTTGATTGTCGGCTTGTCACGTACAATAGATAGTTAAACACCCTTGGTATTTTGCCATCCTTGTCACGAGTCCGTATGTCCTCTGAAATGCATTGTACTTATTCCGTACTGGTATTGATTCGGGAATTCTCGTTTCTCTGGAATATATATTGTAGAGCCCTTCTACAAGCCTTGTTGGGATCATACTGCTCATATGTTTCCGTATAACAAAGTCTTCCACATGATCAAGAGTAACATGGGATAAAAAATAATTATGACCACGGTGATTACCGTTACAGTCATGGTAGGGGAACCATTTATTCGGCGTCTCGACTTCTTGATTCCCCCGGCCGAGTCAGTGTGATGGACCGGCCCTCACTTGCTAACAACTTTTGAGTACTTTAATTTAAATATTGTATCTAATTTAAATGATAATGGTTACCTCTTGTAGACCTCGACACACAGTTTTCTTTGCTTGATTCTCCTCTAGTCCTCTTCTTGGTCCACTATTCTTCGTGAACCTTCTCAATCTTCCGTCTGTAGTGAATCATTTCCACCGGACGCTCTCCGAAATTTGTAACACCCCGTGTTACGGCCTTAAATCCCGGATTAATTATTTAATTAATCCCGTTAATAATAATTAAATATGATTTAATTCGGTTAGGTTTCCCATTAATTAATTAATAAAGGCCCACCATGAACCGTGGACCCTTGCCTAAATTAGAGTCTTAAGCCTACTAGGAATAAAGAAAGTAAACCTTTTACTATGCAGATTATGATTAGGATTCTCTTTAATTAATTAATATGGTCCACTATGGACCATGGACCCTTATCCCTAAAACAAGCCCTTAGTCCTATAAAGAATAGAATTAGTAAACCCATACCATTCAGGCCCTAATTAGGAGTCTTAAATATATAAATAGGGATATAGGAGGCACCTAGATCCCCCACCACGATAATCCCTCACCACACAAGAAGTTCCAAGAATTCCCCTAGGAGAAATCAAGAAAGAAGAAAGCTTAAAGAAAGACCCTTCATAGCCAAGGAATTAATTAAGGCTAAGAGGTAACCCATGTCTTAACAAAACCTATTTTCATAGCTATGATTCCCCTCTTAGGATTTCCCCATATTATTGTGTCTTGATGAATTGTGATATTATTATTGATGATTGGTGGGATGATTCCATGGGTGATCTTGGTGATGAGAGGTTCTTGATAATTATGGTTTTCTTGATGATTATATGATGTTCTTGATAATTATATGGTTCTCTTGATGTTCTTAATGATTATATGAGGTTCTTGATAATTATATGATATTCCCACCGAATCTTTATTTTGGAAGATGAATTGTGTTCTTGGTGATTTAAAAATAATTAGAACCCTAGGTTATATCATGGAATCCGTATGGTATTATTCTTGGTATATTGGGTGGGAATTCGCATGATTGGGTGTTGATTATGTTTAGAAAAGCATGATAGGTTATGTGCCATATGTTTCTTGATTTTGATCTGTTAATTGTCTACGTGTGTTATCAATTGCGTTTGAAAGTGTCTAAGCATGGTTTCGGGTTCCACAAAGGTTCCCGGGGCGTTTTTGGTGAAAAAGAGTCAGTGGGGTAGGTGGGGATAGGGGACCCGCCACCTACCCGCGGCCTACTTGGGCAACGCCGGCAGCGGGCAGCCGGCGGGCGGGCAGCTGCCCGCCGGGCACCCGCTGCCCGGAACAGTGCCGCCGGCGGGTGACCCCTCACCCACCGGCTACCTGCTGGTTTGTACCCAATTTGGGATTTTGGCTTTCCCGTTTGATGTTTCCCCGATCCCCGTGGTGTCCCAACGGACTCCGTCTATCGTGCCTATGTCTAGTTTGATATTTCGGGTACCGTTCGTAGGTTGTATGAGTCTTATATATTGCATGCTAGTTGAATTGGTATCCCGTTGACCTAGGTGAAAGAAGTATGAACCCCTTAGGATTATTCTTAGTATGTGAAGGATCACGCATAGGTTTTGTTATACGCTTTCTCCCCCTTCCCAATGTGTTAATGTGGGTTGCATGTGCTTGCTATGTGTTATGTGTGCATGATACCCCAATTCGGTTGCGATCAGATTGGTTATTCCTGAGCTGCGGTTCAGAAGCTGGCTGCGGTCAGATTTACACTCCCGGGCTGCGGTCCACCGTTTGGTTGCGATCAAACGTTTCTACATGAGCTGCGGTTCATATTTCCTGGCTGCGGTTAGATGACATACTCTTGGGCTGCGGTCCACTGTTTGGTTGCGATCAAACATTATGATGAGCTGCGGTTCATCGGTCGGTTGCGATCGACCCCTCCGTGTTGCGATACGGGGCAGGGTGCTGCGGGGCCGTGTTAGAGCTATATGCGCTGACCCTCATGTATGGGCATGCGATTGGTCCTGTCGCGCCAACAAAGTGTGCTATGTGATGAGATATGGATGAGTTGTTGTTATGAGTGTCTTGGGAGGTGACTTTGGGATTTATGCCGGGAATTATATATGTTGGGTTATGGATATTAACTGTGCTTATCTTTATCTGCCTTGCCTGTTTCCCTATGCTTATGAATTGTATATGCTTGATTATGACCGTTGTCTGTGCTAAGCTCTATCTGTTGAGTCTATCCCCTGTTTTGAAAGCTAGAGTTTCTTAGGATATATCTTCATGCTTCAAAATGGTTTTCGTATATCTATATATATGTCTATATGTATTGTATTTCAACGCGTTGGAGTGGGTTACCAGCATCTCTCGCTGAACAGATATATTTGGCTTTCAGGCACAGACGAGTAGATCACTGGAGCGCGCTAGAAGCTTGGGGCGTAGCTTAGATAGTTTTCCCTTTCGGCCTGCGTGCCATAATTTAGTATTGATACTGATTGAGATTTTAGAATTTAGCATGTGCACCCGAGTTCTCTAGCTCGGGTGTGGCATAGCACCCCGTACTCTTTGTATCGTACTTTGGGATTTAATGAGATTCTATCTTTATTATATAAGTTTTAAAAGTCTTGAAAATCTGGGGTGTTACAAAATTGCTCAGACAAAGAGGTAAACGCGACCTTTTGTCACGTCCCCACAGACGGCGCCAGTGTTGGTTTTAGGGTTTTTGGGCCCAGGGAGGTCCAACACAACCGTGGTTGGTGGACTCACCGTTCACAATGCGGCTTATAGAAAAATAAGTAGAAAAAATATAACTCAATGATTTTGTACGTGGAAACCGAGAGGTGAAAACCACGGGCCTTTTTGGGCGGTGCCAAGCCTAACTCAACTATTCTGTAGGATTGTTTGTACAAGTTGTATGGCTATTTTGTATATGTGATGTTGGGTAGAGATAGAGTTACTATACTTTGTACATTGAGAGGGAGTCTTCTTCCTGCGTGGAAGAGTGGTGGAGTCTTCTCATATGGAGTCTTCTGCACGTGGTCTTCTTGCTTAGATGAGTGGTTGTGGGAGAGTGACATGCCTCTCTATGGGGGAAAGAATAGTAAGTGGTCTTATAGTGTGTAGGAATAGTGTTTGGGAGAGTCCTCCCATGTGTGGATGAATGAATGGAATCCCCTTCCTTGTGCTCTTCTTTTCCTTCTTATAGCTAGCTCATCCAAAAGTGTCTGTTGAGGGGTAATTAGTAGGCTTTATGATGGCTTAATTTGGGTACTAAGTATGAGTTTATGTGGGGGTTATGGATAATAATAATAATAATTAGGTAATTGACTAGTGGCAATAAGTGGGGTAATAATAGGGTAGTAAATAGGTTTCATGGGTTAACGGCTAGTTTAGGCCGAACTTCTACCCGAGCCGACTCCCGGGTCGAGCCGACCCCTCGGTTTGGTCCATATCTATTTTTGGGCTTGGTTCATTTTCTTCTTGGGTTTCTCTTCTTCTTCTGGGCTTGATCTCTTTTCTTCTTGGGCCCCGAGCCCACGGGGTTCACACCCCATCAATAATAATAACAATAATAACAATAATAATAATAATAATAATAATAATAATAATAATAATAATAATAATAATAATAATAATAATAATAATAATAATAGGGAAAATTGCATATTTAGTCCCTGAGTTATAATCAAGTTCCAACTCAGTCCCTAGGTTATGGACGTTTCCGAGTTTAATCCCTCAGTTATGAGCAAAGTGGCGAGTTGGTCCCTAGCGTTAATATTCTGTCTACAGCTAACGGAGAACTTAAAAATAATTTAATAATAGAGGGGTAAAATAGGAATTTTAAATTATAATCCTCTTTTTATGTTGAAACTCGTTGCGCAACAGTCATTCTTTTCTTCTTATACCTACAAATAAGGTTTTTTTCTTCTCCAAGCTCTGAAAGCTCCCACTTCCGTTAGATATAAGAAGAAAATAATGACGGTTGCGCAATGAGTTTCGTCATAAGAATGAGATTATAATTTAAAATTCCTATTTTAACCCCCTATTATTAAATTGTTTTTAAGTTTTCCGTTAGCTGCAGACAGAATATTAACGCTATGGATCAAACTCGCCACTTTGCTTATAACTGAGGGACTAAACTCGGATACTGCCATAACTTAGGGACTGAGTCAGAACTTGGTTATAATTCAGGGACTAAAGATGCAATTTTCCCATAATAATAATAATAATAATAATAATAATAATAATAATAGTAATAATAGTAATAATAGTAATAATAGTAATAATAGTAATAATAATAATAATAGTAATAATAATAGTAATAATAATAATAATAATAATAATAATAATAATAATAATAATAATAATAATAATAATAATAATAATAATAATAATAATTGATGGGGTGAGAACCCCGACCCAAGAAAGGTTGGCCCAAGAAGGGAATCCAAGACAAGGAACGTGGGCTAGCAGTGAAAGAAGCCCAGTGGGAACTTCGGCCGAGTTCAGGAGTCGGCCCAGTCCCAAGTCCACGAAGAGACGGTTCAGAGCCGTTAGGCGAGCGTCGAGGAGCCTCATTTAAGAAGACCCGGCCCCGTAGCCGTTGGAGGCATTCAAGGCAGGACTCGGTCAGACTGTTACGGATCCAAGGAGCCGTTGGACGATCCGGTAACGGCACCCAACGGCTCGATGGTTGTAACTAGCCTTGAAGTCAGCCATTAATGGCCTTCAAGTCGGTGGGAGGGGAGCCTGCTATATAAAGGCTCCTCCACCCTTGTAATCCAGACAAGTTCATCCCGAGAGAGGGGAGAGACACATTGAAAGCTATTACGAGTACTGCCATTTCTTTGCAATTTTGTGTGAAAGGTGAATCCACCAGCTAAGGTTGTGTTGGACCTCCCTGGGCGTAAAAACCCAAAAACCAACACTGGCGCCGTCTGTGGGGATCGAAACGAAAAGCTACGTGACTCTCTGAGTAGGGCGAGTCCCAAAGTCGACTGAAGAAGCATCAGAACATGTCGGAAGGGCGAGATCAAGCGAACAACCGAAACGGCGGAGTAGAGGCAGACCTGAGAGAGCAGTTGAACCAACGAAATGCCCAAAGTCAAGGAAACGAAACGGCGCTGGTGAACCGGCAGCCGCCTATAATACCCCTCACCCCGAAGCAACTCCACGCGCTCGGGCGAGCCTTCGCCGACGCAAGTCGAGGGGCGAGGGAGCAGTCAGTTTCTCGACCGATGCCCCGCCGTCAGCAATTGTCCCAGAGACCAAACGACGGACAGGAAAATCGACGGGCGGAGAGCCAACCAGTGCGATCAGTCCATTCAAGACTGGGTCCGAATGCTGGGCGGCAACCTGCACGAGAACGATTGGGAGAAAGGGAACCCCGCTGCGTACCGGCAGGGCCTCGAGACCGGGAGACCGGTCGGGAAAAAGCTCGCGCCCAGAGAACCAGAACTCGAACGCGACGGACCGAGCGCATAACGCGCCGTGATGATCAACCGGCCGAATTAGAAGCCGGCGAAAGCACAGAGTCCACCGGAAACCACACTCACAATGAAGGCGACGTGGCTTAGTTGGCCCGAGAGGTACGAGACCTGAGAGAGCAGATGAGGGGTAAGTCCAAACCTCCCGGGCAGACGCTGCTCAGCGCTTTACCATTCTCTTCCGAGATCATGTCCTACAAAGTACCCGGCGACTTCAAATTCCTGGAGCAAGCTACATTCGACGGATCAGGGGACCCGCACGAGCATCTGCTTGGTTATCAGGCCAAAATGCAGGTCTTGGGAGTGTAAGACCCGGTGATGTGTCGCGCCTTTTTACCCACACTGAAAGGCTCTGCGCAAAGGTGGCTAGTGGCGCTGCCTCCTGAGTCGATTCACAATTTCGAGGAGTTGGCCGACCGTTTCATGAGCCATTATGCGGCCAACATCAAGCCACAAAAGGATCTGACTCACCTAGGTGATGTCCACCAAGAAGAAGGCGAGCCCCTGAAAACCTACCTGGTTCGTTGGCAGAAGGAAATTCAGTCTATAGAGGAGGTCGAAGATCAGACCGCGCTCACCTTTTTCATCGAATCTTTACGATCCGGGCAGTTGTACCGAGACCTACGTGACAACCGCCCGGCCAACTACGCAGAAGCCATACATATGGCCAATAAGAGGGCCAACACGGAGCAGGCTATGAAGCACAAACGACAGCGCGAAGTCGGAGGATCCGCCAGTGGAAAGAGGACGCGAGCTAAAACCAAGGAAAGGCGCCCGGAGGCAACCCGGTGACCCGAGATCAAACGGCCATACGACAGGCCCGTCGTACACCCCTATCGGCCGGCTCCCGAATGGCCAGTGCATGAGATACAAGCAGTCGCTCCGCCTCCGCCTCCCGTCGATCGATCACCTCGCAATAAACGATGAGGCAGGTAAGACCCTTAAGTACTGTCGTTACCACAAATCCTATACTCATAGTACGGAAGAGTGCTTCTACTTGAAGAAGATCATGGAAGGTATCATCCAACAAGGGACCCCGCCCCCTAACCAGTGGAGACATAGATCGGCGAACCGGGAGGATCGAGACCCAACCGCCACCGCAGAGAACGGTCGGGGTAAGCAGCCGGCTTCCGAAGAGGACGAAGCCCAGTGGGGTCAAAAGCCAGTTATTAACATGATAGTCGGCGGGCCCGAGGGCGGCGACTCGGCGAATACCAGAAAGGTCTGGGCTCGACAGCTATACGTTGGGACGGTATACGGGCGTGAAGAAAGCTCGAAGAAAGCGTGCCGAGAACCGATCACGTTCACTGACAAAGACCTACCCGCGGGAGAGACACCGCATCGGGACGCATTGGTTATAGCGATGGATGTGAATGGAGTGGTTGTTCGGCGAATCTTGGTCGACACCGGAAGTAGCGTCAACGTGTTATACCTCGAGACTTTCACCAAAATGGGATTGACCCGAGAACAGTTGAACCCCGTCAAAACTCCACTCGCCGGTTTCACAGGGGACTCGGTGGAGGTAGAAGGATCCATCACTCTACCAGTCGAGATTGGCAGTTATCCCGACGTACAGAAACTCAGTATGAAGTTCATCGTGGTGAATCTGGCCTGTTCGCATAATGCTATACTCGGCCGACCAGGTCTGGAAGATCTAGGAGCCCTAATTTCCATCGAGCACCTTTGCTTGAAGTTCCGCACGCCCAATGGGATAGGGACGGTGCGTTGCGACAGGAGAGTCGCCCGCGACTGTTACCTGCAAGCCTGTAGAGGAATGGGCAAGCGTGAGATGCAGGTCCATGAGATCACGGAAAGACCCCCAAAGAAGACGATGATACCTCGCCCTGAGCCGGCAGTGGAATTGGAGGAAGTCGAGATCGATCCCGATCAGCCGGGTAGGCGGGTCCGAATTGAAGTCGGCCTCCCCGAGGAAGTACGAGAAGATGTCATTAGAGTGTTCCGAGAGCACCGGCTGGTTTTTGCCTGGGGTCCGGAGGACATGCCTGGTGTCGACCGATCCATCATTGCTCATCGACTCGCCGTAGATCCCGGCCATCGGCCGGTTGTGCAGAAAAAGCGATATCTCGCCAATGATCGGAGGGAGTTTGTGAAGAAGGAGGTGAGCACGATGTTGGCTCCGGGCCACATTCGCGAGGTCAAGTGCCCAGAATGGTTGGCAAACGTAGTTCTCGTACCCAAGCCCCCGGCTTGGCGGATGTGTGTTGACTACACCGACCTCAACAAGGCCTGCCCGAAAGATCCGTTTCCCTTGCCTCGGATCGATCAGCTAGTCGACAAAACCGCCGGGTCGGCCCTGTTAAGCTTCATGGACACCTTCAGAGGGTACCATCAAATTTTCATGCATCCTGCAGACGAGGAGAAAACCGCATTCCTGACACCGGATGGAGTGTATTGTTATCGAGTCATGCCATTTGGACTCAAGAATGCCGGAGCTACTTATACCCGGATGGTGGCCCGACTATTCCAAGATCTGTTGGGAAAATCCATGGCCGCATACGTGGACGGCATGCTCGTCAAAAGTCGGGAAGAGAGCAAGCACGCGGAGGATCTGGCCGACTGCTTTCAAGTGATGATAAGATATAACCTTCGGTTGAACCCGAAGAAATGTGCCTTCGCAGTGCAAGGCGGAAAATTCTTGGGATATATGGTTACTAAGCGAGGCATTAAGCCTAACCCCGAGAAGGTCCAAGCCATCATGGATATGCAACCCCCCAGCTCCGTCAAAGACCTGCAACGGTTGACGGGTCGACTGGCTGCCCTCAGTCGCTTCCTGAGTAAGGCGGCAGATAAAACTATACCTTTCTTCGAGGCCATGAAGAAAAGGGAAGGCTTTGCCTGGACAGTCGAGCGCCAGCAGTCGTTCGAGGAATTGAAGCAATACCTTTCTACGCCTCCCGTATTATCCACCCCACAGGAGGGTGAGCCTCTGTTTTTATACCTGGCCGCTTCCCCGAAGGCTGTGAGCTCGGTGCTGGTCCGAGAAGAGGAACGTGCCCAGCGCCCTGTATATTATGTGAGCCGCTCCTTGAAAGCCGTCGAGACACGGTAATCAGCCTTGGAAAAGATAGTTTACGCGCTGGTGATCACCGTGCGCAAGTTGGCGCCCTATTTCCAAGCCCACACTGTCCGAGTGCTGACTGATCAACCATTGGGGAGCGTCTTGCGGAACCCCTCGTCGTCCGGTCGTCTGGTGAAGTGGTCCGTGGAATTAACCCAGTACGGGATTGAGTATCAGCCACGGCCTTCCATAAAAGGCCAAGCTTTGGCCGATTTCTTGGTCGAATGCACAGCGGGCGAAGAAGAGAAGGTATGCACCTCGGAAGATGACTTGGGCGAATGGTGGGAAATGCACGCGGATGGAGCCGCCAGTGTTCGACAACATCGCAACCGACCGATGAACCGCAGCTCATCATAGTGTTTGATCGCAACCAAACAGTGGACCGCAGCCCAAGAGAATGTCATCTGACCGCAGCCAGGAAAAAGGACGAACCGCAGCTCGTATAGAAACGTTTGATCGCAACCAAACGGTGGACCGCAGCCCAAGAGTATCAATCTGACCGCAGCCAGCTTCTGAACCGCAGCTCAGGATAACCAATCCGATCGCAACCGAATTGGGGTAACACACACATAACACATAGCAAGCACATGCAACCCACATTACACA